GAGCTCTCTCCACCCTGCAGGAACATTTTGATAAGCCTATATCATGGGCATTTCATTTCACAGAAAATTTACACTCAGATTTTCTGATATCTCTTATAACTTGGGATAATTATTTTCATAATTAACATCTTGTAATCTCCACATACTTTTAAAAAAAATTTATTTTTAGACTTAAAAAATTTTTTTCATTGCTGTTTTTAATGTAACTGGTTTGGAGGTTTGCTGTCACTGAAGGCCTTAACACATTCCAAACTGTTAATAGGAGATTACTTGAAATCAACATTAGGACAAGTAATATGTCTTTAACTGATTATCTGATTTTCTCCTTTGAGAATATCCTTCAACTGGAAGTGTTGATAGATGATAAGAAAAAGGAAATAAGAAATTAATATGCATTTCAAATGCTGAATATTTTGCTTTTCCATTTATAGGTGAGCGATATGTGATGACATTTTTGAATGTATTAAATTTTGGAGATCAAGGTAAAGTAAAATTCTTAGTGTTTTATTTAAAGGTGAATACTATTGATAGACACTTCCTAATACATTTCTTTTTAGTTTGATATATTTAATGAACCTGAAGATTGTAAAAATAATGGATCTTGAAGGTTTTTAATTGTAGGTTTTTGTAAATGTACACAATGTCCTACTGTGCCCTCTACTCTTACTTGGGTAGCAGGTTTTCTGTTGAGACCCCTGACCTCTACTCTGCTTCTGGTGCTCATTTTCTGTGGGTGCCAGGAGAGTAGAAGAGGGAGCTCATCATTACAACCACAAGAATTCACCCCATGTTTGGGTGACCAGTTGGTCTCTTTTAATATTTACATATTTGTTTGTATAATCCCAAAGTAATGAAATAAAAATTGAAAAAAAATCAACTTTGCATTAATGAGTTTTATAAGAAAATGCTAGTGAGGGTGGTGCCTGTGGCTCAAAGGAATAAGGTGCTAGCCCCATGTACCAGAGGTGGCAGGTTCAAACCCAGTCCTGGCCAAAAACTGCAAAAAAAAAAAAAAAAAAAATAGTGCTAGTGATAAAAACATCCTATATCAATGTCAGTATCCCAACTATAGTATTTTTACAAGATGTTACCATTTGGAGAGACTAGGTAAAGTGTATATGGGATCTCTCTATTATTTATTATATTTCTGCTTGTGTCTACAATTATCGCAAGATAAATTTTAATTAAAATATTGAATTAGATAATTCTAATAGTGCTATGAAAATTAAAATAGGTAAATCAGGATGATTATTGTTTCTTCCTGTTTTTTTAGGTGTATATGATATAGTGAATAATCTTGGCTCCCTTGTGGCCAGATTAATTTTCCAGCCAGTAGAAGAGAGTTTTTATATATTTTTTGCTAAAGTGCTGGAGAGGGAAAAGGATGCCAAACTTCAGAAACAGGTAGTCTTGGTTCTTCTGTCATCTCTCAAGTGAATTCTCCTTCTAATTACCAGACAGATAGGAATGTGGAGCTTCTCTTATTCTTATCCTCTTATTCTTCTCTTTCATTTTGAGTAATGGCAGAGAACAGAGCTCACTCCTCCATCATGGCCTCTCCCACCTTTCTTGGCTGTCCTTTCTTCTTACCCCTTGTCGTTCTCCATGACCTTTCTCTTGACCCAGCCCTTTCACAACCCTCTAGCTGTCCCTGTGCAGCACAGATGCCCTCCGATGGGCTCGTCTTAGGCCTAAGAATGCGGTTGCCTCCTCCATCCTCTGATTCTCAATAACTAAAGGATGCAGAAGTTGCAGCAAAGCTTTGTAGCAGGTTTTCTGTTACTGGGGGAGGAAAGATTGTGATCATTGGATTTCACCCACCACACCAATTGCATAAGCTTCTTAAGACTGTGACTTGTCCTGAGCTATGGGAGTCTCCATATTCTGGTTGCTAAATCCAGAAAAGATTTTAATATAGGAGTATTTGGTTGTAGAAACTTTTTCTAGAATTAAAAGCAAAATAGCTCTGCCTCTTACATGTCTTATATTTTGTAAAAATACAGTATATGCACAATATCTCAAAATGAGCTAATATGGTTCTCAGTCAGATTTAGGAATATTTGGCTCGGCACCTGTGGCTCAAGTGGCTAAGGCGCCAGCCACATACACCTAAGGTGGCGCGTTCAAATCCAGCCCGGGCCCGCCAAACAGCAATGATGGCTGCAACCAAAATAAATAGCCAGGTGTTGTGACGGGCACCTGTGGTCCCAGCTACTTGGGAGGCAGAGGCAGGAGACTCGTTTGAGCCCAGGAGTTGGAGGTTGCTGTGAGCTGTGATGGTACAGCACTCTACCCAGGGGGATAGCTTGAGGCTCTGTCTCGAAAAAAAAAAAAAAGATTTAGGAATATTTTCCTAAATGCATTGATAGTAACATCAGAATTTGAGTTGTCAGAAGGACAGAGCTGGATAGCATATTTGAAAACTTGCTACCTACTTAAGAATAAATATCAGAGGGCAAAGTGTTTCCTAAGCAGTATTTGAAACAATTTATCCTAAATGAGTTGAAAAGTTAAACCTTCCCCTGGCCATCTAAAGAGATATGCACTATCTTTTTCCTTCATTTGCTGACACAAAAACAAATGTAGGCCACAGAGAAACAGTTATGCTCCCCACCCAACTGGAAGAGAGAGCTGTGAAATAGCTAAGGGAGAAGGCCAGATAAGAAGGGTTTCTCAGCTCCTGACTCATCTGACTTCCTTCTCTCTCGCCCTGGCTCCAGGAGGACGTTGCTGTGGCTGCCATGGTCTTGGAGTTCCTGCTCAAGCTGGCCCTGCTGGCTGGCCTGACCATCACTGTTTTTGGCTTTGCCTATTCTCAGCTGGCTCTGGATATCTATGGAGGAGTGATGCTTAGCTCAGGATCAGGTACGTACAAAAATTTTGCCAGACTTGTTCTAATTTCCAAGCAGAAATAGAAGAGTCACAAACATCAAGAATTAGTGCACACACAGTTGCGACCTGAGTCTGGTGGCAGCGGCTGGGGCACTCTTCCCCTCACTCAAGTTCAGATGCTCCAGGTGCAGTCAGGGGCGGTGATCAGTTCCCCAACCCCACTTGGAGATGTTATGACTCCTTCTTGCCACTGGCTTTCCTCTCAAGCCTAGAATGTGTTTTGCGGAGTGCTTCCCTGTGCTCCCTCTAGGGTGAGGAAGGAGAGCAGAGGGCAGGCGCTAATGAGTCTCTGCTTGGTACTAAACACATCTGAAGGTAGTAAATGCCACATAAATCTCACAGCCTGATGCATAAAAGCCTCTGAAGGATAACCCAGAGCCATTTGCAGAGAATAAAATTGATCTCAGCAAATAAAATGTTATATTTAATCCAGAGACTCTTGGTTTTTAAAGAAGAAAGGTATTGAATGCATCTAATTTTAAAACACTAGGACATTGAGGCTCTCGTGGTAGTTGTTAGTCCTTGGGGACTTTACCAATTTCAAAATGTGGTGGCTGGCATCCTGAACTAAGCTGGCAGTCTATTTGCAGTGTTCCATCTTGGGTTTAGCAAAGATGTTTTTAATTTCTCAGGTCACTAGACAAGAACCCCGAAGACTTCTTCCTGCTGTCCCATCTCAATATAAAAGGCTTTATTAAATGCCATTTTACAGGTTCACTGGCATGTCATAGTCTCCGCTATAATGGGGCCCAGACTTTTGGTATGAGGGGAAGAAGGGCCAAATTTTTACACTAGAGCAACGGTCATTAAATTTGGAGAAATACCTGCTGTGAAACCAATGAAGTGGTTTGCAGCTCCCCGAAGCTAGTGCTATGAGAAGTGCATTTCCATCAGGCAACTGCAGGGAGGCCTCATTAGGAAGGCATTAGCAAGTTTATGTGCAGAGACTGGGAACTCAACTATTTCATAGCAGTTCTGCTCCTTTAGAAAGCAATCACTAAGGAACAGCCTCTAATGTAAAACAATCACAAGATGCTGCCATGAGGCTAGGGCTGTTCCATTATTATGATGTTCACCTGGGAGAGTAATTAATCATAGAAGAGATAAATATGACAACCAAGGGCAGTGCCTGTGGCTCAGTGGGTAAGGCACTGGCCCCATATACTAAGGCTGGCAGGTTGAAACCCAGCCCTAGCCAAACTGCAACAAAAAAATAGCC